CACTGGCTTTCTCTCTCTTCAGGACCGCCGTGATCGCTACTGTCTTCGCTATCTTGCGCGGTCCTGTCAACATCCTTCCTCTCGCCTCTGTCGTGCATTGACTTTTCCTCCTCCTGTGGTTCCTGTTCCTTTTCATTGTCTCCCACTTTCTGTCCGGTTATCTCGCTTACAGGATTCTCTTTCTGTTCATATTTCTAATGTTTCTCCTCATATTGTTCCTTCCTTGCCTCCGTGGAGAGTCCCCCTAACCAAGTTTTGTACTTCCTTGACTTGTATTACTAAAGCCTTTACCCCTCCTACAATTCTGAAAAGCCACTTCCTTGAGCACTATTCTTCGCACTCCCACTCTATTTCCATCTTCCCCGATGGGTCTAAGTCTGCGGACGGTGTGGGCTGTTTGTTTTTCTAAGTCTGTTGTTTTTCCTGATCGTACTTATATGTGTCGCCTCCCTTCGGAGGCTACCGTCTTTACAGCAGAACTTTATGCTATTCTCTATGCTCTTCGTCTCTTGCTTTTTCATTCTCATTCCTCCTTTGTGGTTGTAGTTGACTCTCGTAGTGCCCTCATGGCTCTAGGGTCCTTTAAGCCTGTCCATCCGGTGGTCATAGAGATTCAACATTGGCTGTTTCATATTTCTAGTAAATCTAAATCAGTAGTTTTGATTTTGATTAGGAGTTTTGCTGGGTTCCCAGTAATATTGGTGTTTCTTTCAATGAGCGTGTGGATGCTGTCACTAAGGAAGCTATCCGTTCTTGTCACATCTCCCGTAAAGGTATTCCTTACCCTGAAGACTGGCTCGATGCTGTTGTCCTCCCTGTTCGGAAACCAGGGTCTCTCAGGTCATCCACCAAGGACTTCCGCCCTATTGCCCTCACGAGTTGTGTTGGCAAGCTCTTTGAACGTATGGTCAACGTGCGTTTGATGTGGTTCTTAGAACACTACCACCACCTCTTCCCTTCTCAATTTGGTTTTCGCAAGTGCCGCAGCACAACAGATGTCCTGGTGAACTTGGAAGTCTATATTCGTACTGCTCTTGCTGCGAAGACCTCCGTTGTTGCCGTCCTTTTTGACCTGGAAAAGGCTTATGACACTACCTGGCGGTATCATATTCTGTCTCAACTTCATTCTTTTGGCCTTCGTGGGAACCTCCCTCTCTTCCTCTCTCGTCGTTCCTTTCGTATGCGGCCTGGTACTGCTCTCTCTGCCCCTTTTCAGCAGTATGAGGGTGTACCCCAGGGTACTGTTCTGAGCACTACTCTTTTTCTAGTTGCCCTCAACGGTCTTCTTTCCTCTCTTCCTTCTGGCGTCTTCTCTGCTCTCTATGTTGATGATCTTACTCCTTTGCTGTCGGGGTGATAATTCCCCTCTCCTTCAACGGCGGCTTAAACTTGCGATTGATGCCGTGTCGTCTTGGGCCACCGATCATGGCTTCAAGTTCTCTGCATCTAAGACTTGTGCTATGACTTTTACTCGGAAGCATGTCGTTCTTCGTCCCTCTTTGTCGCTTTATGGTCATCCCATTGCGTACAGGGATTCCGCGAAGCTTTTGGGGTTAGTCTTTGACACTCGTTTGCCTTGGTCAGCCCATATCTCTTACCACCGAGTTGAATGCTCTAAGGCCCTTAACCACCTTAAGGTTTTGTCCCATATTTCTTGGGAAGCGGATAGGCACACGCTCCTCTATTTGCACTCCTCTCTCGTCCTGTCTAAACTCGATTATGGTTGCCCTGCATACTCTTCTGCTTCTCCTTCTACTCTTCGCTGTCTTGATGCTTTGCACCATACTGGGTTTTGTCTCAGCTCTGGTGCCTTTCGTTCGACTCCCGCCCTTAGTTTGTATGTTGACACTGGCTTTCTCTCTCTTCAGGACCGCCGTGATCGCTATCTTGCGCGGTCCTTCCAACATCCTTCCTCTCGCCTCTGTCGTGCATTGACTTTTCCTCCTCCTGTGGTTCCTGTTCCTCTTCATTGTCTCCCACTTTCTGTCCGGTTATCTCGCTTACAGGATTCTCTTTCTGTTCATATTTCTAATGTTTCTCCTCATATTGTTCGTTCCTTGCCTCCGTGGAGAGTCCCTCTTCCCAAGTTTTGTACGTCCTTGACTTGTATTACTAAAGCCTTTACCCCTCCTACAATTCTGAAAAGCCTCTTCCTTGAGCACTATTCTTCGCACTCCCACTCTATTTCCATCATCACCGATGGGTCTAAGTCTGCGGACGGTGTGGGCTACTCTGTTGTTTTTCCTGATCGTACTGATATGTGTCGCCTCCCTTCGGAGGCTAGCGTCTTTACAGCAGAACTTTATGCTATTCTCTATGCCCTTCGTCTCTTGCTTTCTCATTCTCATTCCTCCTTTGTGGTTGTAGTTGACTCTTATAGTGCCCTCATGGCTCTAGGGTCCATTAATCCTGTCCATCCGGTGGTCATCGAGATACAACATTGGCTGTTTCTTATTTCTAGTAAATTTAAATCAGTAGAGTTTTGCTGGGTTCCCAGCCATATTGGTGTTTCTTTCAATGAGAATGTGGATGCTGCCGCTAAGGAAGCTATCCGTTCTTGTCCCATCTCCCGTAAAGGTATTCCTTATTCCGACTTTTATCCTGTTATTCATTCTTCCATTCTTGCCCATTGGCAGGGTTATTGGTCCTCTGTGGTTGGTAACAAGCTGCGTACTCTCAAACGTAGTGTGTCCTCGTGGCCTTCCTCCTGCCACCGTAACCGGCGGTGGGAAACTGCTTTGGCACGGCTGCGGGTTGGTCATACTCGCTTAACCCACGGTCACTTAATGGAGCGCCGCCCTGCTCCTTATTGTCCGAACTTGTGTTGTCCCTCATACAGTTGTGCATATCCTTGTTGAATGTCCTGACTTCCAGGACGAGCGTGTGTCTTGCTTTCCGACCGTCCCTTGACTAAGTACTAGAAATCATTCAATTAAATGAACTTATATGATAACTTAAAAAATAACTAAGCAAGCAATTGATAACTTAATTTATATATTCAAGTATATATGCAATGTATTTATTCATTTTAAGATACAGTTAGCTTGACTGAATCTTTTCCAACACTATGGACACTTGTGAGGTTTTTACTTATTGAGGCTGAATTCTTTTCTGACACAATGGACACTCACGAGTCTAGTGCTGGATAATATTCACAGCTACACTACAATTTTAATAAACGTACCGATGAATGAGGCTTTGCCTCGCTTTATTACCGACAGACAGATTTATAGAATATTAAAGTTATACAAGCATACAATTGGCCAACTAATACGCTACTGTAATAAACTTCAATATACTTATCTGAAGCCGGGTGCCTGTCTGACAAGTTTGCCAGACTGATTAACTCTCTTGTCGAGTTTAGGCACTATATTTTGCTACAGCGTTGCTGTTTGATGATCTGGTAGCATCAGTCACTTGTCCCTCGATAGAATTCTAGGTGAATCGGATACTTTTGATATCGTTTGCCTTATGCGTTTTTGTTCTCGTATTGGCATTCTTGGTGATATTTAGCCCCTCTGATTATTTCGCACTTTGATGGTGCTACATAGCCTTCCCGGTTTGGTGCCTTCTTTTGATAATTACCTTACCACAGGTCCTCAGGTGTCATGAAGCCTTTGCCTCGTTACCAAACCATTCACAGAGTTTCAGATATCCCAATCCTGGTTCACCAGTGGGTACTGAGCAAATCACTGTATGCACTCACTCGTCCCTTCCACAAAGCGTTGCTTCTTGCCCTAGGAACAGTGTCGTCACTCCTAAATTCTCAGTGAACATGACCCGGTCACAGCTAGGCCTGCCCGCCACACCTTCCAGACCCTCAGCGTCAGGCGCCGCCCCTCCAGCGTCGTCGCCAACCGATTCTTCAAGTTTGGCACTAATCTGCTCAATGAACTTGCCTTCTTCTTGCTTCTCGGAAGCGCAGAGTCTCCAATAATAATGGTGGGCTGCGATGGCTAGCTCTAATCCAATGAGAAAGGCTTGTAGAGCCTCAAATCCTCGAGAGCAGACCGAGGCGCGTCCTCTCACCTCAACAGTCAGGTCAACTCTGACGTTGGCGCCGCCTGGGGCACTCGGTGACGTCACGGCGGGCTCTGATTGGTCGCCCGTGACCTAAGTCACCCAATCCGCACTTGGCTAGCGTTTTCTACAAAATGGTGGATCTGCAGGTAGGGGGTACTACTTCATTTGTATCTGGGCACCTCTTTCCCCTTACCTTGAAACTTATAATGTAAATTTCTCCCTTATCTGGCGACGATCTCGTCGCCGCATATACCAACAGACTCCCTGTATCTCAGAAATTCAGTAGAGAAAGCTGATATGACTCTTAAAGCAGGCAAACAGAAGAAATAGGAGAGGGCACCGTAACAATGGATATATACGAGCCTGTGATTTCATATCTCATTCTGAAGTACTGCCCTCAAAGTTCATTTAAATTGTTACTTGACATTGTCATTAATTTGAGTTAGCTTGGGATCCAGCCCAGAGCCTCAAGCACTGAATGCAATTTCGGTGAGAGGTTCCATCTCCTATCTGCTAGATTTGCTTGCAAGTAAGTTGCAGAGCGAACGACCTAAGTGTGGAAGGTCCGGTATTGCTTGTTCAGTAGAAAACCATCGTGGCCTTTATCTCCACCTGGAGTATCTGGACCTTGGCTTCTTGCTCACGCCTCCGGGGCGCATTCATTTGTTTGTCGCTTGGCTGTTGTGACTCCTGCAAAGTGACCTCTTGCTGCATGGGGGGCTGCTGGTGTTGGTGCAGTTGCATACATTTGCAGGTTGTTGCAGGGGGCAACAATAACCAAAGCAAACATTCGAATCCACATCCCAACAACCGGTCTGTCACTCACTCACTGTGGTTATTGGTACATATCTTGGGCACGTGTTTTGTGATATTGTGCATATTGTCTAATGTAAAGTTACCCCTTGTGAAAGTTATGCTGGTCTTCACTTGATAGCTAGTTATTATGGAGCTGATGTTATAAGCATTCTACCCGACAGGAGTGGAGTGTGTGGACGCTGCTGGGGAGGTGGCAGAGCCCACCCACTGCTTACTTGGGGACCACATAGTGCCAGAGAGCAGCGTTGAGTGCCAGGTGTCATGTAAGGAGGCGTGTGTCATCTCGTCGTGGTCAGCATGGACAGTATGTCCTACTCATCCGCCCTGCGGCCACTCCTCCATCAGGACACGTCAACTTCTGGGTGAGTGTTCTTATAACTCCTGAACGATATATCATGTCCTCCGTGGCCACACCTCCATCAGGACACAAGTTTTGGCTAAGATGGTTTACACCAAGACGATAATGCTGAGACGGTCTACTGCAAGACAATAATGATAAATTTATTACTGACCTCCTCAATGTTCCTACATCTAGGAGATTAACCTAAAATAATAAATTCAACAAGCTAGTCCACTGAATGGTATTTAGGACTTATGGTTGCTGGAAGTAAATAATAGAACCCTTGATGAGACAAGTGCTCCTTGGTGCTAGTGTCTTTGAGGGAGACCCAACAAGTGGTGATGATGAAGTGTTCATTTACCTCCAGAATGAATAAATTTCAGTCAGCTTGTAAAATTAAACCTTAATTGTATTGCAGCATGCACTGGTATCGTTTATTTGTTTGTTTTGGCCTAGTCTTATAGTTCTGGTTTCTTGTCACATATTACTATACTTAAATAATGGCAGGAATGGTTGCTTTATAACTATTAAGGTAAATTTGTTACTGCGAAGTCTGTCACTAAATTTATCTTCAAGCAATTGAAAGGTATTACATAATGATTAACCTAGCTAGATATTTTTAATCAGTTGGCAAATATCTCTAACTGCTTTGAGGTCGTAAGTTCATAGTATAATGGGTCTGCATTGGAAAGAGGGTTATGACAAGGGCAAGCAGTAAGGAAAAATAGATCCAAATTTTGAATGATAATCTCACCACACTCTCCTTGCTGATTATTTTTATAGTAATCCAGACCCGATGTTCAGTCTTGTATCTCAAGACTTTCTTAACCCTGTTGGCGGGCTGAAGCACTGTAATGTTGTAGAGTACTGATGAAAGGTGTGGATATGTTGTAATGGCGATCGTGGACTCTGTTGGCTATATAATGGCGTTGGTGTGGTCCACTTACAGTCTGCTTCACTGTATTACTACTCAGGTCTGGTATTATACACTCTATATTGCACTTTCTACTTATAAACAAGGTGTCTTATTATGTTTATGTGATTTAGTTAGCACACCACACTCAAGGTCCAAAGGGTGATAAACGGTTGGATATTACACAGCTTCACACACTGTGGTGTAGTCTTGGTGTTGAGAAGGACTGGCTTACCGCTTGCCACTAGATGGCTTGCTTCAGGGCCAGCACAGGAACCCGCCCGCTTTAAACATTGATTATTTACTCATATTTACCAAAGTATTTGGTTAAATAGTTAACTTTGTATTATATTTATTTTTGAGCATTACCATATTGTGTTTACGAAATTTAGATTTATTTAAGTGTTGTGTTAAGAACCATTACAGACGCCTCTGTTCTATGTGGCATCATAACACGGTAGATATATGGTGACCAAGCAGACTGTTCAGTGAGGGGTTGCATGGTCTTAAAATAACCAGAAGTGGACCATGGGCTCTTTGTTCAATAATACTTGCATCATGACTAATACATATGCAACATTATTTTAGCTTAGGTGGCTATTTATCACAAATGATGAGTCAATACCAAGGCAATAATGGTGAGTCAACGCCAAGGCAATAATGGTGAGTCAACACCAAGGCAATAATGGCGAGTCAACACCAAGGCAATAATAGAGTCAACACCAAGGCAATAATGGTGAGTCAACACCAAGGCAATAATGGTGAGTCAACACCAAGGCCAATAATGGTGAGTCAACACCAAGGCAATAATGGCGAGTCAACACCAAGGCAATAATAGTGAGTCAACACCAAGGCAATAATGGTGAGTCAACACCAAGGCAATAATGGTGAGTCAACACCAAGGCAATAATGGTGAGTTAACACCAAGGCATAATGGTGAGTCAACACCAAGGCAATAATTGTGAGTCAACACCAAGGCAATAATGGTGAGTCAACACCAAGGCAATAATGGTGAGTCAACACCAGGGCATAATGGTGAGTCAACACAAAGCAATAATGGTGAGTCAACACCAGGGCAATAATGGTGAGTCAACACCAAGGCAATAATGGTGAGTCAACACCAAGGCAATAATGGTGAGTCACACCAAGGCAATAATGGTGAGTCACACCAAGGCAATAATGGTGAGTCAACACCAGGGCAATAATGGTGAGTCAACACCAGGGCAATAATGGTGAGTCAACACCAAGGCAATAATGGTGAGTCAACACCAAGGCAATAATGGTGAGTCAACACCAAGGCAATAATGGTGAGTCAACACCAAGGCAATAATGGTGAGTCAACACCAAGGCAATAATGGTGCGTCACTGCAGTGGTTGTCACTATGACTGTAAAGTCCAGGGCTTACAG